CCGGTAACTCAGCGCTGCTTAGTCTCTTTTTCTTATGGTTCTTATAGTGATTCTATCTGGTGTGACGTAATTCCCATGAATGTCACACATATCTTTCTTGGAAGACCATGGCTTTATGATAGGGATGTGTAGCATTCTGGGAAAGAGAACACATATGCTTTCTCATTCAAGAACAAGGAGATTGTTTTGAAGCCAATGACTACAGTTGAAATAAGAAAATTCAAGGAAAAGAAGCCAAAGGATGTCGCTGAAAATAAGCCTAAATCTCTTCACATTCTCACCAAGAAGTGTTTTCAAGTTGAGAGTATAGAACTGGGAGTTATATATGTCGTGGTGGTGAAAAAAATGACAGATTTAGCTGTTGAATCTGTCTTTGTATTGCCGACAGAAGTAGCCAAGTTGCTGTCCCATTTTTCTGATGTTGCCCCACAAAGAACTCCTAGATGAATTACCTCCCATGCGCAATGTCCAGCACGCAATAGATCTCATTCCTGGATCACAATTGCCTAATCTTCTAGCCTATCGCATGAATCCAAGGGAACACGCAGAGCTTAAAAGGCAGGTAGATGAGCTACTATCTAAAGGGTTCATTTGTAAAATTTTAAGTCCCTGTGCTATTTTGGCTTTGCTTACACCCAAGAAGGATGGTAGTTGGCGCATGTGCATAAATAGTCGTGCTATAAACAAGATTACAATCAAATATCGATTCCCTATCCCGAGACTTGATGATATGTTGGACATGTTGGCTGGGTCTTATCTATTCTCAAAGATTGATCTGAAAAGTGGCTACCAGCAGCTACATATAAGGCTAGGAGACGAATGGAAGACAGCTTTCAAGACCAAGGATGGCCTCTACGAGTGGCTAGTCATGCCATTTGATTTAACAAATGCCCCAAGTACATTCATGCGCTTTATTACGCAGGTATTACAGCCTTTAATTGGTCACTTCCTGGTTGTTTATTTTGACGATATTCTAATCTATAGCAAGACCAAGGAGGAACATATCTTTCATCTTCAACAAGTTTTGAGGGTCTTATGTCAAGAGAAGCTCTACATTAACTTAAAAGAAGTGCTCTTTCATGAGTCTAATGGTTGTATTTTTGGGTTTCATTATGTCGTCTAAAGGAGTGGAAGCCGATCCAAGTAAAGTGAAAGTTATCCTAGAGTGGCCAATTCAAACCTCCTTGCATGAAGTTCGCAGCTTTCAAGGGCTGGCGACTTTTTATCGTCGGTTTATTAGGAATTTCAGTACGGTAATGGCACATATCACTAACTATATGAAATGGGGACAGTTTGTTTGGACAAAGGCAGCAACAAAAGCTTTTGAAGACATAAAGAAGATGATGTCTGAAGCTCTTGTTCTACACCTCCCTGACTTCTCAAAGGTATTTGAGTTGGCGTGTGATGCTTCAAATATTGGGATTGGGGGTGTGCTGAGTTAAGAAGGGCACCCAGTTGCTTATTTCAATGAAAAACTCAATGAAACCAAGCAAAAGTATTCCACCTATGACAAGGAATTTTATGTAGTGATTTAAACTCTTCGCCATTAGCGACACTATCTTCTTTATAAAGAGTTTGTGTTGTTTCCTGACCATGAAGCACTCAAGTACATCAACTGTCAAAAGAAGCTGAATTATCGACATGGTAAATGGCTTTCATTTCTGCAGGAGTATTCTTTTGTTATCAAACATAAAGCTGGCTCTGAGAACAAGGCTGCTAATGCCCTTAGCCGAGTGGTGTATGTTCTCTCTTCCATGGCTATACAAGTGGTGGGTTTTGACTTGCTCAAGAGAGATTATCCTCTTGTAAGGGTTTTAGCTCTATATATGCTCAGTTACTGGCTGGACAGCAGGGAGGATATGGTGAGTTTTTTTTGCATGATGGTTTCCTTTTCAAGGGAATTCTCCTCTGCTTACCAAACACATTAATTCGTGAATAAATGATTTGGGAATTGCATTCCGGAGGGGCAGCATGTCATTTTGAAAGAGATAAGACAATTGCAATGGTCGAGGATCGCTTTTATTGGCCAAAACTGAAGCGAGATGTAGGCAAGGTTGTTTTGCGATGCCATACTTGCCAACTTTCGAAGGGAAGAAAGAAGAATACAGGTTTATACACTCCGTTAGTTGTGGCCCATGAACCTTGGCAGGATTTAAGTATAGACTTTGTCATTGGATTACCAAAAAACCCTTCGAAAACATGATTCTATCCTTGTGGTTGTGGGTCGCTTCTCGAAAATGGCACACTTTATTCCTTGTTCAAAGACATTGGATGCAGTCTACATGGCTAAGCCTTTCTTTCAAGAAGTTGTCAGACTTCATGGACTGCCAATGACCATTGTCTTTGACCGTGATTCAAAATTTATCAGCTACTTTTGGTGAACACTATGGAAGTTGCTGAATACAAAGCTGAAATTTTCTTCCGCTTTTCATCCACAAATTGATGGTCAAACGGAGGTTGTTAACCATAGTTTGGGTAATCTACTTCGCTGCCTTGTTAGTGATCATGTTGGCAGCTGGGGTCAGGTACTTCATATGGCAGAATTTGCATACAATAGCTTTGTGAATAGATCTACAGGTTGCAGGCCTTTCAAAATTGTCGCAGGTTTGCTTCTAAGGAAAACAATCGATTTGGTTCCCCTACCTATTCAGGCTCGCCTAAGTGCTGAAGCTGAAGCTTTTAGTCAACATGTCCGTGATATCCATGATGAAGTGCGACGAAAGATTGCCATCAGTAATGAGGGGTACAAACAACATGCTGATTTGGGGTGGAGGTTTGCTGAATTTGATGAGGGCGACATGGTTATGGTTCAAATCAAACCCGAACGGTATCCTAAAGGGGTATATAAGAAGCTTCATTCAAAGAGTGCCGGACAATTTAAAGTTCTCAAGAAGATCAGTTCAAATGTTTATGTGCTCGAATTACCTGATGATATGCGCATAAGTAATGTGTTCAATATTGAGGATCTAGCTCGATATTCTGGGCATTTTGAGAATAGTAACCGGGCTAACGTTGTGGCATCTCTCCTGGCACCCAAATCTTTTCAAGATGAAATCAAAGACATGGCTGATTATCAAATTGTTTCAACTCAACATGGAGGTTATCAAAAGTATCTCATTAAGTGGAGATTGCACTTGGATTACTGATGAGGAGCTTCGGCACCTCAACCCTGACCTTTATGAAAAGTTCTATGCTTTTAACTCGACGGGGTTGAGTTCTTTCAAGCCGGGGAGAGTTGATGGGAAATGTCAGCAGCCAATTAAAGTCTATAAAAGGCGTGGATCCGACGATTCTAAGGCCCAAGCCTTAATTTGGCATATGCTAGATGATGTGGGGGCTACTTGAGAGATTAACTAAACTTGAGATTTATTTAAAAGTGTCTCTTGAGTTTCTCAAGTCAAATGTATTTAAATTTCTAGTCAAGGTCTTTGGATTATTTAGTTGGTCAAAGAGTCTTCTGGTGTCTTCCACATGATTAATGCATTAAAGAGTCCTAAGGAGTCTAAGGCCTATTTTGGGAAGATAGTAAAAAGTAATTTTTTGACTTTTAACCAAGCTTTTGACTTTTTTAAACAAATGATTTGGGAAGTTGGTAAAAAGTTACTTTTGGCTCTTTTGATTAATATTTGTTTATGATGTCAAATCACAATAAAATGACCAAACTACCCCCATTAATTTAAAATATTTACAACTTCACTCATGTAGCACATTTTGACTCATGAGAGGGTAGAATTGTAATTTTACCAGTAGCTAAAAACCAACTTCCCAAATGAAAAAAAATTCAAAAAAGCCAACTTTTGCCTTTTGTTACAAACCAAAAAAAGTGGTTAAAAGCCAACTTTCCAAAATAACCCTAAGTTAGTTATGCCATTTAATTTGGGAAGTTTTAGAGTCAAGATGAAGTTAGTATAAATTAGATTGTAAGTCTTGTGGCAAGGGGATTGAATGAATGAAAATTAAGCTTATGCTTCTATGATTGTGCGTTGCAATCTTTCTTTAGTGCGATGCTAAAGAGCCCCTTGGTGTGATGTCTTGGGTTTTTTAGGTGTGATACCTAGATCTATCCTTCTTTAACCCTTCCTCTACTTCCTACAAATCACTGTTCACGCCTACTATTCACGTCCGCTGTTCACAGGCCCCAAAACAGCCCTGTTATTTGTGTTTTGCTCATACATAGGCCCATTTCGAATCTGTCCTGCATCATGCAGTTAACTACCAACTAGTTCTCATGTAAATGAAGGAAAATCACAAGCATAGACAAGTACAAGTACTTACTCAAAGACTGATCAACTTACGAACTTCAAGAGGTGAGGGAAGTGAAAATTAGTCTTACAAGCTACTATAGTCTGCCTTCTAATAAAAGCAGGGCATTGTAACACTTGAAAATAAGTTCAGATCAAGTATGGATGCCAGATAGCAAGTACTAATGTTACGGCACCCAAAAGATGATAGTATTTGAGGATGGGAATCAAGACACTTTGCAGATAATATGTGGATTATGATTACCCTAATGTTTGGGTCAGAACCCAAAAGAAAACATATCTTGGAATGTTATAATGGGTATTCCCATAACAGGGAATTTTGCAAATGCTCTCCAGTGGTTAAACATCACTTACATTTAAGCAGTACTAATGTTACGGCACTGACTCCTAGTGTAGCCAAAAGCATCCTCCTGTGACTCTGGTTGCAAAATAGTTTTCTACATGAGACACGGCTTTTGGTGAAAGAAAACAAGATGATTATTGTAATCTGTGAATTTCGACTCCCATGCATTTCATTTTACTCTTCTACCACACAAGCGCTAGGAATACATTGATGTTTTCAACATTCACACCAGCAATTTTTACATTACAGTCTGTCTGAACAGTGTTAAAATTCTAACTCTATGTTATGGAAATTTTCATTGTTCTTTGTACTACATTAAATAACAAATTCTTTTGATAAGTTAATCACAAGATTCAACCTTTGTTTATGTGAGACTATAAAAAATTGGCAAAATTATATCAGGCACAACATGCATATATTGAGGTCATAACAACTATAATTACACAGGAACATAAGTTCACTTTATTGAGGACTTTCCTGTTGTTCACTATTAGGAGCATGAAAAGACAAATATAAGAAAATCAACTCACTTTCATCTCGAATTAACATAAAGAACAACAGGAAAGTCCTCATATTTGCATCAAGTTAAGTTTTTTATTTCATTTAATTTTTGTATCTTCACCATTCTGTGATAGGTCTCTAACTCCTGCACCATCCAGATGGACTCCCATCTTATGATATTGATTGTTAGGAGACCCATTAATAGATGAAGTTCTATCATGCTGATTTTGTTGGTCACACACCAAGTCTGCTGGCAAGGAAGAATGGGAATCAGACACTTGAACTCTGCCCATAGAAAAGCTTCAACTTGAGCATGAATGTCCTTAAAGGTTTCACTGTTTGACATCTCAGGAGGCAACTCTTCTGTCATTTCCTTCAACTGAAATAACATAAAAAGCAGCAACAATACAGGCTCATTAACATGATTCACGCATTACTGAAATAGTAATAAAACGAGACCAGTGGCTGTTCTGCCATCACTTGTCAATGATGCCATATGGATATTGTTATATGGGAAGAATAACCTGTCCCATGTACCTTTATTATATAGTTCTATATTTTTTATTATTTAATATTTGAATAAGCCCTTACCTGTTTGGGTTAAGTGTGCATGTTTTGTAGAGCCTAAATGAATTAAGGCTCTGTTTGATTGGGGGATATAAAGATTGGGATTAGATATTATATTCGGTGGGGTTCATATATCCCATGTTTGCAATTTTTTTTGAAGGGGATATAATATCCGGTGGGATTGTATATCCCCCAAAAGTGGAGGATATACAATACCACACCCCCCCATTATATCATATCCCCTTGGTGGGGATATGATGTAAAAAGTCCAATTTACCCTTTTTTCTATCTAACATAATATAATTTAATATATTTTTTTGAATTTAATATAATATAATTATTGAATTTAATTTAATATTATTGAATTTAATATAATATAAATATTATTGAATTTAATTTAATATAATATAATATTATTTAATTTAATTTAATTTAATATAATATTATTGAATTTAATTTAATATAAATTTTGAATTTAATATAATATAATATTATTTAATTTAATTTAATATAATATAATATTATGAGGGCAATCTTGGAAATTACTTGTTATATCCCACAATATATTTTGTAAAACAAACATGCATAACATATATCCAATCTTATATATTAAGTCAACAAACATGACTTGGGGGATATACTATCCAATATTTATATCCTATTCATTATATATCTTGAGTAAATCCCACATCATATTATATCCTCTATTTTATATCCAACGAAACAAACGGGGCCTAAAAGTTCATTTATATACTGACTTGTGAGGTTGTACAACATTAGCATTGTTGTTGGACCTTAATGGGTCATGGTTGTTTAGAATCATGTGATTTATGATTTTATATGAGTTTCAACGAACACGATTTGAGTCATGCTGTTGAATTTGAAATTGAAGTGAGTTCTGCAATTCAATAAACAATTAATTGTGAATCACTATGAAATGTGTGATTCACTGCGATTCAATTGTTCTTCTTCTTCTTTTTTATTTATTTATTTCCATACTTCATGAAATAACACTGTTTTTGACAATCTGACACTATAAAGGAAAAAAAGATAGATTAAAGGAGATCAAATGAGCCAGTCTTTACATCAGAAGACGTGCTTTTGATTATAGGAGATTAACTCTAATATTGATTATAATTCAGAATTGAGATCTGAACAAGTTCAATAATATGCTTATTGATGTAATTTTGGATTTTAAATTTTACCAGCACTCTAAATTGTTTCACGATTCACTATTTTGACAAAACAATTTCACGATGGGACAACCATGGTCACAATTTCAATAAATCACAACAACTTTTCCTTTAATATGACAACTACATTCAAACTAATGCCGCACTCAACTGATCAAGCGACTTCACTCCAACTGCTAAGAAGCAATTAACCCATCTCATCTAATGCTTGGGAGTACCAAAACCATTATTCAAATTAAACTGCCGAACTTCCTCCTCTCGATTTTTTACCAATTAGTCCATCTGAACTCGATATAAAAAATAATAAATAAATAATTAAAAAAAAAAACTATTTTCTCTTACATTTGCTTACTATAACAAAATTGAGAAAACCTTCGTTTCGTTATGTTTTTGACAAATATTTTTTAGGGTATACTTCAAAGTCACATAAAATTAGGAGTGCAACTCGGACGGGTTCAGTCGGTTTGGGAGGTTATCCAAGCCCAACCCAAGTTGTGCTGAGACTTGCCCAAGCCCGCTCAAGCCCGAATTGTAACCTGAGGATGTCTGTCCAAGCCCGACCCAAGCTAAACCAGAATTACCCGAGTTACCCGAATTGCCCGAATTGTAAATGAATTTTAGTTTTTTTTTTATTATTTATTTTTTATAGAAAATCATTAATACCATCAAAACAAATAATTTATATAATGTAAGAGAGATGCTACTATAGTAGTTTTTACAATTAATGAGTGAAAATAAAAAGAAAAAAAAGTAAGATTTTATGTTATTTGTATATATAATATATATTCAATATGATTTAATAATATAAATTACTTTAATATCATGTAATGACTAATAATTTATATTTATATTTAATATTTTTATATATCTATATATGTATAATTCGGATTTCAAGTTGCTCGGATTGTTTGACATCTTTGCCCAAGCCCGCCCAAATTTAATTCGGGCTTCTGAATTTTTGTTCAAGTCCGTACTTAATTTGAAAATATTTTATCCAAATCCTAAAAAAATTTGAGTTGGACTCGGATTGCTCGGGTTGAGCCGGCCCAAGTTGCACCCTTACATAAAATGCAAATGTCTGTGCATGTGGAGAGAGAGAGAGAGAGAGAGAGGAGTAACCTGCTCGATATCACGGTCAGGATTGCCATAACTGAGTAGATCTGTCATTCGATCTGAAACAAAAGAGCTTTAGAAGCAGCCGAAGATGAGTATGGGTCAACCATCCGAACAGTCTTCATATATGCCAATGTATTCTGTTTTGCCTTATCATCAAATTCTCAGATTGAAATCCCCAAATTCAAAAGCCAAAATTCAATAATGACAAGAATCAGCTTATCTTCTTCAGATCTAGGAGACTATTACCAACAATTTCGACTCTTCACCAAGCTTTTGGATTAAGGGGGAAAAAGTGAAATGGAAAAACACTCATGATCTACGTTGGCGCGCTTCTTTGGCCGCGTCACCCAGTGTTCGTATAAACGAGGAAATTACAAATACGCCCTCAAATGTGTTTAAAATACAAATTATACTCTATTATTTTAAAAATTATATCTAGGTCTTATGAAATTTTGAATTTCATAAGTTGTCCATGAATCAAATCAAATCTTAAGTCCCATCAAATAGGATCGGCTTATGAATTCTTCTTTTCCACTCAACTCTATCAAAAGTCATTTCGTTAGTCAAATTAAGGAGATTCAAATCTTTATTTACTACACTAACCCATATCAGTTTAAGTCTGTCACTTTCCTTAACACTTCTATCTATCATTACTATATCGCATCTCTTTACTATTGTCTCGGTTGGTCTCCGTTGTATATGACCAAACCATCTTAATCTATTCTCTTTCAATTTATCTTCTATTGGTACTACTCCTACCGCTTTTCGAATATACTCATTTGTAATTTTTTTTCCTAATCTTGTCATACATTCACCTTAACATTCTAATCTTATTAACACTCATCTTATTTACATGTTATTTTTTAATTGTCTATTTTATTAATAAATTATAAAATTAATTAATACTAGATTTTAAGATCATCAATCAATTATAATTTTCATATAATATTCACCTTTTACCTAAAAAAGAAAAGAAAAAAAAAACAATCAATGACATTGATCTATTCATGACAAAAAGTAATGAGGTGGAGAAACGGTCGAAGAAAAAGACTCCTTTTTGATGTTTTCATTTTTGACATAGTTAACACTCAGGCTCTTTTAAAATAAATATCTAAACATATAAATCGCAAGAGTTGGTATAATATTGTGTTAAGGACGTGTTTAGTGTTTATTTTGATAATATAAATTATTTATATTATAAAATTTGTTGAGTAAATTATTTATAAAAAAATCAAATTAATTGAATATTTTTATTTTTTAAAAATAAACCGTTAGCATTATTTTAAATAATAATAATAATAACTTATTAAGAAATTATGCATAGCCAATTAATTTCATTTTTAAAAAAAATAATATATTCAGTAAATTCTATAATATAAAAAATTTAAATTATTAAAAGAGATTCAGGAAAGATTTCAGAACAGGTCACCAATCCTATTTCCAGAAAAGATTGGCCTTCTTGAGTTCGGCTCCTCTCCAATTCTAATAGAATTGGAGGATCTTTCCGTGCTTTCTAATTGTATGACACGTGACAATTACTACATCCAACGGACCAAAATGCTTTAATCAATCAATTCTTTGTTTCCTTTCTTCTCTTTTCATCCAATTTCTGTTCTTGCCCACAAATTTTTTTTATATTTTTTGACTGCCTCTTCTCTCTCTCTCTCTCTAGACTTTACCCAGCCCCAATCGTTCTTATCTTGTCTCTCTCCTTCTCTCTCTCTCTCTCTGTGCAAACGTTCCTGAGAAAGCCACTCTTTCATGTCCATCACAACAATGTAAGCATAAAAGTTGACAGTTTCAAGAATCAAACTATTACAATCAAAAAACAAAATTATACAAACTAATATATTTTTTAGTTAATTACATTTACAATTGGACATCATTGTGTTTGATACTTGCATATCTAAAATCAATGAATACACTGGAATATATATATATATATATATATAACTTGTTGTGTGTGCATGTTAATAATTTTGATATTACAATTTGTGCGGTTAAGAAATCAATTTTGTAAGGAAAATGAGTGAGAGCACTAATTAGTGCTACTACTAATGATGTGGTAGCAGGCCTCATCATGAATGATTTGATGTTTTGGCCTTGGTGTTGTATTTTTTTTTTCTTTTTTTATTGAGTGCCATGTCATTAGTGTTTTTTTAGAGTTCCAAAATTAGTGGTCTCTATCATTGTTGATTTTGTAAAACGTGCTATTTTTAGCACTCTATGAATTATTTTGACCTCTTTAATTTTTAACTTTTTTTATTACAATAATTGTTGGAATGTGTACCACATCCCTTGGAATTGTCTCATCTGTACTAGTTATAAGGCTCTAGTTTCCCTTACCTTGTGAAGCCCCTGAAATATGTATTCACTTTTAAAACCCTAATGTTTGAATTATTTTCTTAAAGCCCCTCAGTTACTTGTTTATTTCAGATCTTGTCGGTTAGCATTACTATTTTATTTTTATCAAAACAGGAATTTCCCTAGTCGGATTAGGTTACCTAACCTAATTTAATTCTACATAAGTTACATGTATTTAACTCCAAGCCCCCACCCTTTAATTAAATTCAAAACTTACCCCAAACTAGTACTTGTACCTTGTACCTTGAAGTACCATCAATCTTGTAATATATATATACATGTATACACCTTGGAGAGTGTGTCCTAGAGCCAAAAATTGATAAAATAATAACTCCATCACCCTTCCCAAGGGCCGGTGTAGACGGCCCCGAACGTCCCGGGAGGGAATCTCATTTTGTTCATTGGGGCTTACTACAGTTTGGACTCAATGTCACGGTCCTGTATCTAATCTCGCGGAGTGCAATGCAAGACCGATGAATCATCAAAGAGTTCAAATCCGGCAAATCGTTTTGAAAAACTGATTTTTAGAAAGAAGTGCCAAACATGGACTGCTTTGTCAGATACAGAGTCGCCATCTAAATATTTTATTTTGGGGGAATTTAGGAAACCCTGACTCGTGCCTAAGGCCACGTGTCTGTCATCACCAAAGTTGCCTCGGCTCGGGAACTTGGGTACGATTGGGGAAGGTCACTTCGTGAGCACCCCCGCTCACCCGATCAAAGATCGGCCTTTACTAACCATGATATCGAGTTTTGAAAACATTATGTGCTCATATTCCGGTTATTAGCCTAGAATTACTATGTGATGCACACAACATACAAGTATAGACTGGATCGCCTAAGTTGGAACAAAACATCGCATA